AGTGGGTCTCCGCACTCAGCATGGAGTCTGCTTGAGATTCTTTCTCCCTCTGCCCCTCTCACTGCTCCTGCTCTATCTTTCTCTAAAATAAAATTTAAGACTGAAGAAACCTAATAATTGAAGGGGATCATAATATGCCACTTGGGCGTAAGAATTATTTTGAGTGGAAGGCAACTGAGATAGAGCAGACACAGGAAAAACTCTCTACCCAGCGTATTTCTGCCTTAAAGTAGGGCATACACCTGCCCTTGTGAAGGGATTCCGCTGTCCCTTTTCTGGACCAGGAAGAGCAGATGACTTTTTATCACTAGAGGTAGCAGCATGGACTTGAATCTACTTATTACTGACATATCCTTATCTTCCATTAGTTTCCCCATATATTTGCCTTCCTGCACTCTATCACCCCTAGAAGCCCAAACCCCTTTCTTTTGTCTTGTCACCTCCCTACAATTTAATTCTCTTTGTTAAAATGGTATTTAAGCTCTTAGGTCTACCGCTTCTTTGGCTTTTCACTTCTTTCCTATGAAGCCCCCTGTGCCACATTAAAAAATTAACATCAAATAAAATCTGTATGCCCTTTCTCCTATTAATGTGTCTTTTTGTCAATGTAACTTGCAGTCTCCAGATATTAAAGCTAAGAGGGTAGAGGAGAAAGGTTTTTTTTTTTTTTTCCTCTCCTACAAAACCAAATGCAATACATAAAACATGATGGGACATTGGTATGAAAACCTCAAAGAATGATATGAAAGACATTTTTGAGTCATTCGGTCTATTTGGATATGGGTGGGATGTTAAACGATAATATGGTATTATGTTTAATTTTCTTGAGCATGGTAAACAAGCATGGCTATATATGGCATGTCCCTATTCTAAGGAAATACATGGTGAAGTATTTAGAGGTATAGCATAAGGGTGTTTATAACTTACTTGCAAATTTTAAAACAACAAAAAATGTGTGTGTGTGTGTGTGTGTGCATGTGTGTGTTATTGCCTATATTAAATAAATAAAGGCACACATGGGGGAGGTAGGGAGAGGGAGGAAAAAAAATGGCAAAACGTTAGCTATTGAATCTAGGGATTTAGGAGAAGGAGAAGAGGGTATATGGGTATTCCTTATGCTACTTTTTTCAACTTTTCTATATGCTTGTAATTTTTTATTTAAAATGTTGGCAAAAGACAAATTTCAAGCAGTGTATTCGATCAGGTGGCATTTAGATTAAAACTCTTATTCCTCTAAGTACAATAATTGCTTTATCTCTACAATGGTGGAAACAATACCATATTTGCCTAAAGGGAAAAGGAGAGATAAATTCTTGAGATCACTTTTCATTGCTATGGATTATGATTCAAAGATTCCTCAATTTAGGGATTCTACTTCCCATCACCTTGCTGACCTCTTCCATTCAATCTTTTATCAACTGATATTATTCTAAGTAAAATGGCCTCCCTTATGTTGTCAGCTATCCATTGCTCAAAGGCCTGCCTACCTACATTCCCTTGACTGGTACATCTCCTGGGATATCCAGAAAAAAAGGAGTGTATGAAGATAGTGACGACATCATTAAAAGGACTGAGACCACAGTACATGATAATGAGGTCTGGGCAGAAAAACAGCTAGCCAGTTATAGTTAAGATCCTTTTTTCCCTATGCTATGGAGCCCTCTGGCAATCTGGCGATGCCTGGGACTCTTCTCAGAATCATGTTTTTAAGTCCAGAATATAAAAAGCCAAGAACTCCGAAGAAAGTCAATTGTACTGAAATACGGTTATAAAACTACTAGAAAATATTTTTTGTGATATAGCAATACATGTGCTTGTTTATTATTAACACATTGATAAGATCTTATGGAAGATCTGATAACTGGTACAATTTTGACAAGTGGTAACGTTGAACAATACTTTGAGATATGTGTAGCTACTCTACTGAAATATAAAAATATCTGTGATTTCACAGGTACTCCTAGTATTACTCTGGTTTGTTGCCTTTATTCAAAATGGAAGAGAATGCTCAATTTCCATTAGAGGTTAGCAAAAACAGAGGTATTTTTTTTACAATTCAAGCTCATGGCACCCCTTGAATCCTACCAATGGACCTGGGCTTAAGAATCCTCATTACATACGCTTGCTTTGTTTTAGCCTATGATTTCCTTTATGGCTGATAAATTTTCATTTGCATCTTCTTCATTTACAAAGACCATATTGGTGGCTAAGCCATCATTAAACTCATTATACTGTCATGCTTAAACCTATAGATGCTATCCAGTTCCTCTGCTACATAATTGAGGCAACAGTGAATTTTGTCTTCAGTTGTATACCTAATTGACTGCATTTTATACTTCATTTATTTCCAACATAAACTAACCTTAATGGATGTCCACTGCTATTTGAATTTGTTCTGGGATTTTTCTGCTCATATTTCTGATATCTTGCATTTTCAAAAAGGGTTTAAAATTATGTAGCTGTAAGGCTCCAAACAGTTTTGCAGATTTTTTTTTTCTGCTTAAATTGTGTACTTTCTTTTGTATGTGTACATGGACTAGGAAACATGAAATATTTCCAACAGCTGCATTTAAAGCCCATTGCAAACTGAGAATACTGATGTCAACTTGAATGGTCATTTTATTTTTCACCTGTGCAATAAATAACCTCTGGTTCCTGCTGACTTTTCCTTGGGTTGCAGTGAAAGCATGGCATTGATTAATAATAGTTTCATGATTACAGCTCTTCCACTATTGTTAGGTTAACATATTCTTTTTATGTATATTTTTTTACTTTTACTTTATTTGCTACTGGATGCTTGGAAATAGCTGTTAGTGTATTGGTAGAAAAGGCACTTCTATTTTATTACTTTTTTACATTTCATAAAATTTAAATGATACAAAAATTCTGAGGAAGTATGCCATGAAACTGATCTCAGTGGAAATTTAAATATGCTAACATTTATTTTTAAAATGTAGCGTGAAGTAGACAACTTTAAAAGCTGAGTTAAAAAAAAAAAACCCTCAAGGAAGCTGATCTTGACTTTTTAAAGCACAAAAGTACAGTATTTAATGTAGGTCAAAATGTTTAAATGGAAAAATATTTCTAACCAGTTAACAGCCAAATCCCTAGCTGTAATTAACCTACAATTTGTGTAATATTTCATCACAGTGTCCTCATACACTACTTTCTTGTAAACTTAGAAGGATCTAAAATTTTAGAGCTTATTTGGTGAAACAGTCTTAAGGCCCTATGTTTCTAAGTTCTGATTTTCATTTAGAAGTCAGTAATAGATCACTTTTTCACCTGAATTTTTAAAAACTTGTTATCAGAGAAAATATTGACATGTTGTATTTAAACATAATATGAGCAGGATATTTAGAGATGAGAAACAATACTTTATATATAATAAAGAAAAAATAATCTTCCAACCCATTTAATCTACTTTATGAATTCAAGTTATTAATTTTTAGAGCAGGCTATGCAATTTTCCTTAATCTGCCCATTTGTTAACATCTTATTTTAGACTGGATTGACTTTAGTTCAGAAATGATATTATACAGGTTTAAACCTGCTCATAGTCTAAACATATCAGTTATTTAAGTAATGATATAGTTGTGTGTTTAATAGAGAGATTTCAATGTGGGGAAAAAAGTATATGATTTTCCCAAGGAAGCAGTTTCACCACCAAGTTTAGACCTTTATTTTCCATTATCTCTATAAAAATTATAATTATTTTCTAGGGCGCCTGGGTGGCTCAGTCAGTTAAGTGTCTGCCTTCAGCTCAGGTGTGATCTCAGGGTCCTGGGATCGAGTCCCGCATCGGGCTCCCTGCTCGGCGGGGAGTCTGCTTCTCCCTCTGCCCCTCCCCCCTCTCATGCTCTCTCTCTCATTCTCTCTCTCTCAATAAATAAAAATCTTTAAGAAAAAATTATAATTATTTTCTAAGCCAAGATTCAAACTAAAAATGTTTTTAGATGATGCTATTATTTTTAAACTTTATCAAGAGGTGTGTGTGTGTGTGTGTGCAGGTTAAGTAAAGCATCCCTTTTGTAGAGGAATATGAATTTTATCTACTTTTTGAATAATGCAACAGGAGCAAAGGCGCCAAGAGGAGGTGGGCAAAGACAATGGACCTAATTCTGAAACCTTTCTAATATATCCTCACCAAAGACATTCATCAATGCGTTGTCCTAGCTTTCTGAATATTAAAAACCACCTATGTAGATGATAGGTAGGAAGCAAGAGCTTGGCAATAGAAGGGAGTTTTCATTGTTGCAAAACAATAGTCTCATTTGGTAAATAAAGGCCAAGTCCTCCCTTATGAAAAAGGCAACATTAGCATCAACAACTGGAAGCATAATACAAAATCCCATTTATAAAAATATCTATGCCTTCCAAGTGCGGCAACATACATTTGGCATTCTGGGCTTTCAGGACCTTCCAAAGGAAAGTTAAAAGATGACTGAATTCAGCAATAACCTTTCTGAGGTTTTATTTGCCCCTTTATTTTTTGCCCCTTTAGATTTGACCATTGTCCGCCCAAGTCCCTCTTCAAGCATGTACTGACAAACGTAGTGGAACTAAAAAGTAAATATGACCATCTTGGTTTTGAGTATCAGAGTCACATTTATAGCTGTTCAAAAATCTAGCCAAATCGCAGTCTTTCCTACAAAACAGTCATTTGTTATTTCCTTTTGTCATCTTCTTTCAAATAAATGAGCCTCAGCTTGTTAAAACCGGAATATACTGAAGATGTTCATATTTGAACAATCGCTTGGTGTTTAAAACACACTTCAAAGTTTAAAATAGCAAAGTGCTATTTCACTAGCAGCAGCTACATGTTTCAGGACATGAGACACAGAAAACAAATTCATTATTGTCACTGATTAACAGTTGAGGGGCTCCTTCCCCTTACTGCTTTTCACCCTGGTTCCAATCTTTCACAGAGTCTTTTTTAGAGGACAGCTTAAATAGCTCTGCTAAAATTTTAGGATTCCTATTTTTATCTGTTATCCTACCTCTTTTTTCTTTCTACCAGCTGTTTGCAGACCTCCTGCCACCGCAGATTCAGGCTTCCCAGTTTTTCTTGCAGAATGCTGGCATCTGTCTTGGAGGACTGTTGAATTACTTCTTCCCCAGTCGCATTCAATACCTTGACAACAGTTTGCCGCTGTCCGATGCCATCCTGGAGTTCCTGTAAGAGACCAAAAAGGCAAAACAAAAATGAAGCCCTACGTCTTTTTATTTGAGAAAAGATTTAACAATGTGCTACAACATGTGGTTCTACGGGGAGAGACAGAAATAAAAAAGCGCCGTGTGAAAGTTTCTCTATGAAACTGACATGCCTATATCCAAAGGCTACAAGACAGAAAGACACCTTTTATGTGTCAGTAAAAAAAGCACCCTCTCAGTTCAGCTCCGGTCTTTCTATTTGTAAAGCTTGTCAGCTAGACGATGGTATAATGTCCTACAAATCAATTAGTTGGAAACCTTCTCAAGAGCAAATTCGATTTCTTGTACCCACAAGGATGTTCCACGTTTAATAGTCTATGAAGTGTCGTAAAATTTTAACATGAAAAAAGTATTTCGATTTCTTAATGACTGTCGATAGGAGAGGTGAAAAAGAACAAACATACTTTAGCCATAGTATTTAAAAAAAACAACCTCTAGAGATACTTAAGCAAAAATTCATTGCTATATTAGAAGGAAATTTATTTCAAATTCTGTTTCCATCAAGGTATTTTGCATTATAAAACCACATAAAACAGAATTAATTGCTTTCAGGGGCAGCCTATCAAAAAATCCCTAAGGTACAGTGATAAATTTTAAAATAATCTATAGCCACCAGAACATTTTTATGAGTCATTGATGATGTCAAGATGAAATACCTTCCACTTTTTATCCTGAATGAAATTTTAAGAGTAACAGAAAAGGAGTGTCATTAAAAAAGAGACTACTACAACCAAATATACATAAAAACAAAAATGCTCTTTACCATTACCTAAAAATGGCACTCTACTATTTTTTTTTTAAAGATCATCCAGAATGTTTTAGGCAATTAAAATAATCCAGTACTAAATCTGCAGGTTAGAAAATGAAATGATCTGAGAACTTGAGATCCCTACCACATTTAAATCAAAAAGGCTCACAGATTCCCACATACTAATAGCATAAAGTTAGTATGCAGAACACTTACCTGATAGATGTGATTCTCATGATCTTGTATTCTTATATTTCCCTGTCTTTTGAGCCAATACCAAGGACATAGTAAATGCCAGTCCATGCTTGCCAAATAAAAGAATGGATGCATGTCTTCTGAGACTGGGTCAAATCTAAGATTCTTATTCCACATAAAGAATTTTTTTTTACTACTTTCGTGTAATATTATTTTGAATACTAGAATTTCTGGTAGTATAACTTTAACAGTTAAAAGACTCAATCAATCAGCAAAAATGATAACAAGGCCATTATTCCAGGGACCACAGTGCCTCAAATGAACATAAAACTATGCAGTTATCGAACTGTTCATAAGCTTTCCTCACTATACTCTCTTACATGTACGAGATATGCTCTAGTGAACATGTGGTATTTCCTTGCAACTAGTTGATTTTGCACCATTACTTGAATCTCACTCTTTACCATCCATTCACACCGGGGTGGCGTGTGACACTCACTGTTACTTGCTTAGTAACGGGTACACTCATTCATAACAAACTGTGTCTATATTCCTATTATACCAGACATTCACTGAGGTCAGAGACTGTGTCCTATTCATGACTGTGTCCTTAATGCTTAGTCCAGTATCTGGCGCATGGGAGGTTTGGGTAACTATCTGTTGAGGGAACGCATGCATGTCTAAATAAAGGAAGTGGGGGAGAAGGGAGACGTTCAGTTTCATCACTGTCATGGTATCATTAGTATTAATACTTATCATCAGGCCTCCTAGAGATTCAAAAAAAAAAGTTCCATTTTCTAGGTTTCAGGCAGTATATAATCTAGCGGAAGAGGTGAGACACAGTTGTGAAGGATAATTTGTTGTACTCCATACAAGAGAGAAAGCAAGATGCTCATAAATGATGCACCGGAAGAGGGATGATTTCAGTGGAAGGATGAACAGAAGATGACTCTGGGGGGATGTGAAATATGAAGAATGGGTAGACCTGAGAAACGTGGAGGATCAGGGGGGTTAGCAGATGGCAGGAGGCAAGGCCTATGGTGTGCCATTTCCATGATGTGATCAGGAGTATGTATGTGGGCTCCATGCACTGTATGGGAGGGGGAGTGCAGGGAGAGGGGCAGCCCTGGGTGGATCTTGGGCCTCGGCAGAGAGGACTTGGCTTTTCATTACGGAGTTTGCAATGCTTTGGGTGGCAAAAGAAAATAACTTCCGTTGTAAGTACAGGAGTATTGGAGCTAGAGCTGTGTTTCTGGATAATTCTGAGGCAGAGTTCAGGCTAAGGTTAAGACAGGGACACAGGGAAAACACTAGGACAGGATTCTGGGAGACTGGTATTGGGGTAAGACTAGACTTTTGATAACGCACCAGAAAGGAAAAGATAAACCCAATACACTGTTAGGGCAGAAGCTACAGGGTTTGTGAACTAGCTGGATCATGCAATCATGCATGACTACTGGAATGGGAAAATCTTTGCCTAAAAGACAGAAGTCAGAAAAGTAGAGAAGAAAGATTAAGACTCTGATTTGTACCTTCAGTGGTGTCCAATATCCACACCTATTCGTAATATTTTGAAAAAATGCCTGGAGTATGTATTAGATGTGTGCTATAGCATTGCGTCTCAAACTTTAAAGTGCAAAAGAATCTCCTAGAGAACTTGCCAAATTGCTGATTCTGGTTTAGTGGTTCTGTGGAGGGCCCAAAATTCTCTACTTCAAACAAGCTTCATGGGGACGCCGATTCTGCTGGTCCAGGAACACCACACTAGTAGTCGGATGACAGAATCTTTGTTAAGTAATCAAAGAATTCTTGGTGGTGGTTTATAATGCTATAAGCTAAAACTGCTTCAGAATTTTTATATCAGCTCTTCTGCTTTGTATTTTTGATCTTGGCCCTTCTACTTCATGGCTGGTGGCTGCAGTGACTTTTACAACCCAATTGTAGAATCAACAAGGGTTTTATTCTTCCTATTTCCCAGATAAGAGAGAGAATTGAATAGCTAAGAATAAAGCAATAATTTAAAATTGTTAGGTATAAATCTCATTTATATAGAGTCCCAAACCAGGGCCTTCAGGTTTTTTAATTTTGTGAAAGGAGAGCTCATTAAATAGTCTATTGCATTTATGTGAGAAGATTTTGTAATCAGGAGAGGTATTTACAGTGTATGAACCACTTGAGGAGAGCTTTCCGTAATAAAGAATAAGACAATGGCGTAATGGATTGAAACAGGAAGTAAAAAATGTGTACGTGGTGTTTTACAAGTTAGCCTCTGAGCCCAAAGAAGATAAAATTTGATGTAATAAATTAAATGTAAAACCTCAATCAACTTTATTCACTTAGGGAAAAACAAATTAATTTTAATTCTATAGCTTCTAAATATTTTAAGCACTAAATTATTCACTACCAGCAAAATGTCCAAGCTTTGATATCATACTAATGTTCTGTTGTCATAGACATCCTTATCTATTTCTCTGGCAATTAACATCTAGTCTTAGTTTGGGACAGAAAGAGAATCATAATTAAATCTATTGGATTATTCATCACAGTTAGAAAGCTTATTGTGTTTTGATTCTGCTATGAAAGCATCATTCTTAATAAGGATTCCATATCAGACTTCCCTAGGGAACTTTTTCAAAATATAAAAGCCCAGAATTCCACCGTTGGCTGACTGCATCAGAATCTCTGGAGGTAAGGGGACAAAGGAGTACAAAATAGATTTACTGCTGAAGAAAGAGTAGGCAAGAGACACGTGGAAGGGGTGAGTGAGCAGGAGAGACATGTTTCATAGTTACTGCATTATCTCAACTTCTTGTATGCTTTTTAAATGGAGAAATGTTCTCCATTAAATTACAGGAAATGACACATTTAAGTCCCTCAAGTCTGGTTAAATTGAGGGAAAGTCAGAGAAATTATGGGCAAGGAAGGAACTGCTACATTTTTTTTTTAAAGATTTTGTTTATTTATTTGACAGAGACAGAGCGAGAGAGGGAACACAAGCAGGGGGAGCGGGAGAGGGAGAAGTAGGCTTTCCGCTGAGCAGGGAGCCCAATGCGGGGCTCGATCCCAGGACCCTGGGATCATGACCCGAGCCGAAGGCAGACGCTTAACGACTGAGCCACCCAGGCACCACGGAACTGCTACATTTTTACAGAGGAGAGAATATGAGGCAAAAGCAGTCAGTACTTTTTATACGAAAACATTACATACATTTAAAAAAGTCTATTTGCCAAACTTTTCAAAACTGTATGAAAGCACAAAAAATGGAACATACAATGTGACCAATAAAGAAAAAGAATAAGCTAAGAAGCAGTTATGGGAAATTGTACAATGACAAAACTGGATAAGCTGGGTAAGAGTTAAAGAACTGGCCAAATACCACAAACTAGGCAGAAGAGGAAAACAGACGGATAAAAGAGATTGGGAGAAAAGATCAAGACTGAGGGAAACCGAAGAGGAAAAAAACAAACCTTCATTGACCAAGTAGATGCGTCAAGAATGCAATCCTGTGATTTAATTGTAATTTCGTTAAAGATTTCCTTGGAGACAGATTAATCACTGACTCCGTTCACTCACTGGTCAAATGAAAACATATAAGAATAGGAACATTGGACACTGGTGAAACCGCTGGAGAAAATTCTACTGTGTGATTTCATAAAAATATGATGTGTTATCTTTTACTGCTTTACCCTTTCTGTCCTGCTTAAGATCATTCCCACTGTTTTCTCTTTGTCAGTCCCTAGAATTCAAGTAAGAATCTGAAAAATAGTTTCTGGTCCTTTTCTCAAAGATAAATTAAACGAGTCTGTTTCTCACGTTGATTCTTTTTTTTTTTTTAAAGATTTATTTATTTATTTGAGAGAGCGAGAATGAGAAAGAGAGTACATGAGAGGGGGGAGGGTTAGAGGGAGAAGCAGGCTCCTCGCCGAGCAGGGAGCCCGATGTGGGACTCGATCCAGGGACTCCAGGATCATGACCTGAGCCGAAGGCAGTCGCTTAACCAACTGAGCCACCCAGGCGCC